AGAGAAAGAGAGAGACATATAGGAAGAATAAGAGCAAGAACGAAAGCGAGATAAGGAACGAGAGAAAGAGAGAGACAAATAGGAAGAATGACAGCAAGAATGAGATCTAGACCGTGAGCAAAATCAGGAACGAGACAAAGAGAGAGACAAATAGGAAGAATGAGATCAAGAACGAAAGCAAGATCAGGAACGAGAGAAAGAGAGACACATATCGGAAGAATGACAGTAAGAATGTGATCTAGAACGAGAGTGAGTTCAGGAATGTGAGAAAGAGAGAGACAAATAGGAAGATTGGGAACAAGAACGAAAGCGAGATAGGGAAAGAGAGAAAGAGCCAGACAAATCAAAAGAATGACAGCAAGAATGAGATCTAGAACGAGAGTGAGATCAGGAACGAGAGAAAGAGAGAGACAAATAGGTAGAATGACAGCAAGAATGAGATCTAGAACGAGAGCAAAATCAGGGACGAGAGAAAGAGAGAGACATATAGGAAGAATAAGAGCAAGAACGAAAGCGAGATAAGGAACGAGAGAAAGAGTGAGACAAATCGGAAGAATGACTGCAAGAATGAGATCTATAACGAAAGCGAGATCAGGAACCAGAGAAAGAGAGAGACAAATAGGAAGAATGATAGAGAGAATGAGATCTAGAACGAGAGTGAGATAAGGAACGAGAGAAAGAGGGAGACAAATAGGAAGAATGAGAGCAAGAACGAAAGCGATATCTGGAACGAGAGGAAGAGCGAGACAAATCGGAAGAATGACAGCAAGAATGAGATCTAGAAAGAGAGTGAGATCATGAATGAGAGAAAGAGAGAGACAAATAGGAAGAATGATAGCAAGAATGAGATATAGAACGAGAGCAAAATCAGGAACGAGAGAAAGAGAGAGACAAATAGGAAGAATGACTGAGAGAATGAGATGTAGAACGAGAGTGAGATCAGGAACGAGAGAAAGAGAGAGCAAATAGAAAGAATGACAGCAAGAATGGGATCTAGAACGAGAGTGAGATCAGGAACGAGAGAAAGAGAGAAACAAATAGGAAGAATGAGAGCAAGAACGAAATCGAGATCAGGAACGAGAGGAAGAGCGAGACAAATCGGAAAAATGAAGGCAAGAATGTGATCTAGAACGTGAGCAAAATCAGGACCGAGAGAAAGAGAGAAACGAATATGAAGAATGACAACTAGAATGAGATCTAGAACG